CTGTTTATGTATGTTTTTAAAGCCTCTTGAGGGCGAGAGAAAAAAATTGGCAAAGGAGAGTACATAGAAATATTCTCTCTCTCCTTCCATTTGAGAGGTTTAACCACTTCCAGTGTGGGCCAATTCTGACATTCCTCTCCTACATGTAAAAAACATCTACAAAACACAACACCTTATACGTATGAGTGTGATAGACACAGGAGAAAACTACTCCAAGCCTTGCTATCATCTGTGGACTGGGGATGTCCCAGAAACCAACTACAAAAATACTAACAGAAGAGGGCACACCAGCCTATTGCATTATCTCATGTGACATTTATTAATAATCTGTATTAAAATATACTCTCAAACCATATGAATGGAACAGCATATCAAGTTACACATTGGTAGCATAGTTGTTCATAGGACTCCGTCAAGCCCTCTTCATCACAGCCAAACCTTCAGGACCCTCTCAGCTCAGCTATTTATATAACACTGTTCATGACATGAGAACCACAAGCCCCTCCCTTCATAGGGGCAGGCCAAATTTCTCCAGGGCCATGTGACTGAAGAGTTACCAAATCTGCCAAAAGATGCATGGTGCTGAATGTTTGGCTCTATTGAAGAGGCTATAGCCCTCAAAACACGCATGCCAGGTAGAATTCTGGTGGAGTTTTCCTGAGCTTTAGAGTACGCCAAGTTCTATAAACAACTTTGCTATGGATATACTGTATAGCTTGATATGCTATTCCATTCACATGGTTTTTGAGTATATTTTAATGCAGATTAATAAATGTCATGGGTTAATGCACTAGGCTGGTGAACCCTCTTCTGTTTGTGTCTATGTAAAATTATATAATTTTTTGCTAGAAAACTACTTATAACTCCCTAGCATTATATTGGTTTAAACAGAGGCCCTAGAGAATAAAATGGTGGGTGTTGTATATTTTTATGCCATACGGTATTTGCAAAGTGTTTTTTCACATGCTATTTTTTGGAAAAATACACTTAAATGAATTTAATGCACAAAAACACAATATATTATCCAGTTTTTTATAAAACATAAAAAGACGATGTTATGCCAAGTAAATAGATACCAAACATGTCACGCTTTAAAATTGTGTCCGACCATGGAACGGCGCCAAACTACGGTACATAAAAATCCCTGTAGGTGACACAGGAGAAGCCATTTTAGGGTTACACAGGAGGTCTGGAGCGAAATCTTTTACTCCCACTTTGACATTCACGGTAATAACTCACGTTTGGTTTAATCGTTGTTTACATATGCATGTGGGACATGTGCCAGTGCTTACATTTGTGGGCAAGCATGGGCAGATGGGGGCGCTTTAAATTTTTTTTACTTAATTTATTTAGAAAAACATTATTTATTCTTTATTTTTTTTAATCAACTTTATTGCTATCACAAGGAATGAACAACATTACTTGCGAAAGCATGGGCTGTGACAGGTCCTCTTTATGATGAGATCAGGGGTCTATTAAACCCTAGACTTTTCCTCTGGCCTCCAATGCAGCCGATCAGACACAGATCGTTCTGATCTACTGCTTCACCAGCCGATAACAGCCAGGTAAACACAGAACCAAAACAGGAAGTGGCAAAATCCTTGTCACTTCTGGTTTCTGACATCACACAGTGGAAGGAACAACATCAGTTGCCACTAGTCGCATCCTTACCAGGCTCTCCAATATCTGGGGAGAGCCTGGTAAAGGCAGCAGGAGGGGGGATCCCCTTCCGCTGCCTGTAAAATTAATCAAGTGGCTCTTTATCCGCTCAGATTACTTTTACTGGCTTCATAATCGCTGGCTGAGAACAATGATACCTCGGTCATTGTTTCAGCTGCAGCAATAACCTAGATATCACCCTTCCTATCCTGTGACTTGCCGTTATGTAGCTGGATGAGAATAGGTTAATCTACTCAAGGTTAAGCTGAGGACAGCAAAAAGGAGGACAAGGAGAATTGTTGGTACCATTTGATCCCACACACATTTACCAATTGGTTTTAGGCATTTTCAAACATGGCCAGCGTTGCTCAACTCTATTCTGTTATTTAGATGTGATTAAGGAAACACATTTACATCTGAGTGGTTTGGTTCTGCTACAATGAGCAGTTTTGCCAGCAGAAAGCTGTAAAACCATTGCTTCACTGTTACAAAAGGCTAGTGGCTTGTGGATGAAGGTGGGCGATCTTAACCTTGGGACAGCCAGCCTCCAAGGAAAAAAACAGGGGATGTCTGGCAATTTAATGAAGGCCACATCTATTGCTGCATCAAGCACAAGTGTTCTGACTTTTCTTTACCTTGATGCTTCAAGCCAGGTAAAGGCTGATTCTTTAGGAAAAAGGGAGGACTCCAGTAAGGGATACCGGATCAGGAAGTCACACAGTTACTTGAATCAGGTTTTTCTGAACTTGAAATACTCCTTTCAATGCCAGGAGGTCGTGTCTCACAAACGTCAGAAAGAAGTTGACTTGGGTTCCATGGGAGGCCCTTTTAGTTGCCGCTTTTTGTAAAGGCTATGAATCCTTGGGAATGGTGCCCAAGGTGGTAAAAAATTTTGATTGATTCACCACTTATCTCACTTCATGGGTGGGTCAGTTAATGATACTGTCAATCCTTGGGTGTGCTGGGTGTTGTATACATCTTTTGATGCGACTATCAAATGGGTTCAGCACTCAGGGTCGCCATGGGGGTGGGGCAGCCCATGCACATGTAGGGGACCCGGGCATCATGAGGGGCCCTCCTGTCTGGGCCCTTGCTTGCCAACTGTTTCTAGAAATCTGTCCCTATAGTTCAGTCCCAGGCTTTGACAGCAGCAGTCACTCCTTCTAAATATATTCACTGCTGGCTGGGCAGGCTCAGGGGAATGTTGGTGATGCCTAAAGCTGTGTAAGGGGTCTCAGACTTTTTGATGGCTGCCCTGTCAGCACTACTGTCAAGGCTCCATTCTTGCAAAGACTTATGGTAAGATGCCCTTTCAGTTATTGCTGGTCCACCCATAGGGTTGTTTATATTTGGGATGGCAATGAAAGATTTCCTCTTTTGCAGATTGCCGGTGGATTGCCCTATTCCCTGTGCCCTGCTTGAAACATTCAGCTCATTCCTGAAATGTGTGGTTCGGGATATTTAAGCCATCAATTTGCTCACTCACTACTTGCAAAATTCCAGCCAACATCCCTCCCTCGCCCCCCTCCTGGATTTAAGCTCTTCAGAATCCTGTTCACAACTTTGAAACACATTCACGAAAGCTTAGGGGATCTTAGGAGGAAGTTGGCACATTGAGCAGGTGAAGAAAGATTCAGCTGTGGCCTTATTGGGTAAATTGAATATGGCATGCAGGACTATACTCAGGGGTTAGAGTTTATGGCAAAGCCTGATGGCATCTTTGCTGTCACTCCCTAGGGCATTATGTTTGGTTGGCCCTGAAATCACTTAGCTGACCTGTTCATTTGGGAATCATTTTAGAGTTTAACGGCTCATTCACACTGGGCATACATTACCGTACGCCTGTGCAGGGTTGTGTTTACCCACACTATGATGCACATGTGTTCCGTACATCCCAGTGCAGGCATTCGTATTAGGACACAGCACTTACACAGACACAGCTCCTGTTCCCCAATATGACACCTGTGTAGGTGCAGGTCCCCGAACTCACACTTTGTTTGAAAGAAACTTATGTTAACAGAAGAGTATAGGGGGTCATTTACCAGTCAAGGGTTACATAAATAAATAAATAAAACAAATTTTTGGATATTATGGACAATATGTGTTTAAACATGTCCACAGGACAAATTCACAGGGGAGGAATTAGAGGGTAGTGTGTACTATGGCACGCGGGGATAGCTTCCAATATGCATACCTGTAAGACCTAACATGGACTGGTCAGGTTTCAGCTTGACAGGTCTAGGTACACTGTGGCTCATTCTGCCTTCCTCAATCAGTCTCCTATGCAGGGGTGGACTGACCATTTGGAAAATCGGGCACTGCCCGAGGGCCCGGGGTCAGTATGGGGCCCCATGAGATGCCCCTGGTAGCTTTTTTATAGGCTTTTTGGAGTTTGGGCAAGGACACAGGGGCCCCATGATCCCCTATTGCCCGGACGCCCCATGAGTTGTCTGTCCGCCCCTGCTCCTATGCTTGCCAAACCTATGACACACTGTACAAATAGTGGGTCCCAGGTGTAGCAAGCCACAGGGTCAGGAGAGGCAGTAGATCACAAACTCAGTGGAGCATGTGAAAAAAGAAGGCAAGGTGTATGTTACAGCACACTCTGTAGAAAAAGGCTTTTGTCAATGTTGGACAACCGGACACATCTTGCATTTCAATTTATGACACTGGTACATGCCACTTAAATTGCCAAAACTAGCCAAAGGATGGGAGATGGAAACAGCTCTAGAGGAAAGCTTACTGGGAACTATTTTTCTGCTAATATTTGGGGGTTTTCCCCTGTGTTTTATATGAATTTTGGAGTAACCTTCTTTTATGCCCAGTTGTTACATGCACAGCTCTCAGTACATTGCTTTCTTTTAATCATTTGTCATATGGGCACGTAAAAAAAAAAAAAACAACATACAAAAAGTGATGTCACTAGTCCTCAGTGTGAAATTTAAGCTGCTTAAATCACAACAGTAGGAGCATTAAAATAGTGGGGTCTGTTTTGCTATTAAGCCCTGCAGCCCGAACCATGAACCTATTCAGTGTGTGTGTGTGTGTGTATATATATATATATATATATATATATATATATATATATATGTGTGTGTGTGTGTTTGTATATATATATATATTTTTTTTTTAAATTTCAAGTCCTGAGCTACTAACCAGGCCTTAGAGTTACTCGCCACCAACAAACACACACAAACACAGACATCTGTACACACACACAGACATGTACATACACACATACACACAGAAACATGTACACACACGCACAGAGACACATGTACACACATACAGACACATGTATACACACACAGGCACGTACAGACACGCATACACACAGATACATGTACATACACAGAAATACACATGCACAGACACATGTACATAAACACAGACACATGTACATACACACATGTACATGCACACACACATGTACACACACATATATATACACATGTACATACACGCAGACACATGTACAGATACACACTTGTACATACACACACATGTACATGCACACACACAGACACATGTACACACATACACATACATACATACACGTACATACACGTAGACACATGTACAGATACACATATGTACATACACACAGACACATGTACAATTGTACATGCATACACAGACACACACATGTACACGTACACACACACATACACACCACCCCCCCCCCCCCCATAAAAAGTTGCAGTACTTCATTGTTCACTCACAGATCCGGGTACTGCACTCTAGGAGGAGGCAGAGAGCACAGCACACACTCCTTCCTTTGCTTTCACTGCGCTCAGCTATTGAGCAGTCTGACAGCTCCCAGTGCCAATGAAAGATCCGGCCTGAGCTCCGAGCCTGCTCAGCAAGACGGCCCTGGGGGACACACGAGCCCCCACCATAATTTCCACTCACCGTTGGCGAGCAGGCAAGTGGAGATTTCAAGCCCTGTGTATATATATATATATATATATATATATATATATATATATATATATATATATACACATACATACATACACACACGACCAAAAGTTTTGGCACCCCTGCAGTTCTGTCATATAATGCACCACTTCACCCAGAAGGTTGTTACAATTAAAAATGTTTCAGCATTCTCAGGCTTACTGTACTTCTCTTGTAGATGATGTTTGACTGTAGGGACTGTATTCTTTTTTTGTTTAAAACTTTTTGTTCTCAAGTCCTCAATCAATTCTTTGCTGCTCTTTCTCTCCTCCATGTGGCACAGAGAGACAAAAAACAGAAAGGTTGAGTCAATTTTCATAATTTTAACTCGTTGCCTGTGTGATTTCAATATTGTCAGGACCAGTTAATTGATACAGGTGAGTTTGATTATAAATTACAGGAGCATTACAAACTTGGAATGAAATTATTTCTTAAAATTTTGAGAAGGTACCAATAATTTTGACCAGTCCATTTTTGAGGTTTGCATGGAATGTGTCAGATTTGGATTTTTGTTTCTCCTCTTTTTTGTGCCATACCAATATAAACAAAAGAAATAAACACGAGAATGTTTAAACATTTGTAATTTTCTGGGCAAAGTGGTACATTATCTGACAGACATGCAGGGTGCTAATATTTTTGGTCATGACTGTAAGTGATCACGTAGTCTCTGTACTCAGCTGCACAAGGGTTTTAGAGAGCTGGAGGTGGAGAAACAGCAGTACACTCATCTTTCCAGTGAATGGATGGGCAGGGGGATGTAGCAGCAGAAGTCAGATCATTGGAGGACAGGCAGGCTGTTTTTCCAGCACAGCCGGAAAACTGACCACATTGGGATGCATATACCTCATATTCCTTGCATGGTCAGTTTGAAATAAGAAAGCAGGAGAGTTAGCAGGATCTTCAGGTATTTCTCACAAAGGAAGCAATTCAAAGAGAACAGGATACGTTTAACATAAGTACATGGTACAGTACAGCAGGCACATATAAAGAAAATTTAAATGCTGGGGTAACATTCTTAAATTTATAGCATTCCTATTACTTACAGTATCTTTGTCTATCTGAAGCTTGTACACAGTCATACTACGCATCTTTCAGTTTTATATAATCACCCCACTTGCTGCAGTTGCTGTTATATATAAACAAAAATATTGATGACGTCAGACTATCAATGATGAATTGCTAATCAGTGGGCTGCCAATACGTTTTCTTAGGTATTTGTCAAAGAGTACTACAAGAAAAAAACATGTGTTCTTAATGTTTCCCTATGCTTTGCTCGCAGATTCCAATAGAGGAACAGTTTTTAGACTAGAGATTGTGCATTGTGGTCAGTGTGCTCTGACTGCTAGACAAGCAGTCCTAGATTTAATTATGATAGTATCTATTCCTTCATAGCATTGACAGTTCTGGTCAGCACTTTTCACAGCATTTTGAACTTATCATCTAATATAAGGTGTCTGAAAAACAGGAAGATTAGATAGCTGCTTATTCAAGGTCACACGTAAGGTTTTTAAGGGTTGTACATTGAGCTCTGAATATAGAATATCATTTCCATTATTCCATACATTTTTAGTGTAAAAAAAAAACGTAAATTTACAGTAAAGTCAGTGTGCAGATACATTGCATTAATTACATTTCTTAGGCCCCTTTCACACGAGTAGTCTGTTTGTTTTTTATCCGTTGCCAGATGAAAAACGGACATCAGTGCATCTCTATGGAAAAACAGATGTAAATGGATGATTACCCATTTACATCCATTACATCCGCATCTGTCAAAATAATTTTTTTGAAACGGATCAAAGCCTTATTTCTGTTCTGTTAAAAAGACGGAAGGGACAAAAATTGGGTGTAAATGGGCAAACATTCAGTTGTTGCATCCGTTTTTGCATTGGTAGTGGATAAAAAAGGTGATGTAAGAACGGGGTCGGATCTAGACTGTCTAATGTGGGGGTGCAGTAAAGAATGTCAAGGTGGCAGAGGATGGAAGGTCAGCAAGGCACTATACAGGGGGTCAGTAGGGCAGAGGATAAGGTTAGCAGTTTGAATGGCAGTGCAGAGGTGCAGCGGAGTGGTGGACAGAGGTCAGTAGTAGCAAAGGCAGAGTTCAGAGGTCCAGTAGTAAGAGATGCAGAGGACAAATTTTACCTAACAATGGGAGGAGTTTAAAGGGGGATGAACAAACAGAATCTGTGCCTAGTTGTGGTATACACTGCGCACATATAGCACAGTCCTTATACCCACAAAAATACTACTTACTATGTCACAAGTGACTGTCGCACAGATGCACATAATCCTTAGGATTATGTGACTGGGCGTCATATGACGTCCTGTCAAAACGAGCCGTTCACGCATGCCGCGGGGCCGTGGGACACAACCGATGACATATCACTACACCGACCCGTTGCTAGTGTCATGTGACCGCTGTGACCAATCACAGCAGATTACATGTCAATTGTATACAATAGATTGCTTCCTGTCATGCCATCCATTGTATACAGGTATGTTGTTAGCTGCGACTGGTCAAAGCAGTTACATGATACAGACAGGGCCAATCACAGCCCACCTGTATCATGTGATGAGCTTTGCCCAATCACAGCTAATCACAACAAAAGACTGAATGAATCAGTTTCATTCTGTAACAATGATTGCAAATATCAGTGAAATACATTGGTATTAGCAATCATAATGTGTTAAAAAAATAAAAATCCTGATCACTTGCTCAGAGTAGTTCAATGTTACTATGGTAACACTGTATTTCTTTGGTCACAGTGTGTTGAAAAAAAAAGAAAAAGAAAAAATAATGTAATAAAAAATAAACAAATAGAATAATTTGCAAAAAAAAATACAAATTAAATAATTATTATTATTTTTTTTTATTTTTTACATACTGTCACCAGTTAGTGTCTCTGATCACTGCCACATCAGTTATATAATAACGCTGTACTGGACTGGTGACAATATGTGGAAAAAAAAAAAAATTGTGATTTCAGTACAGCATCCGGACGAGCCCACATGTTCACAACAGATTCCCCCCAGAGTCCTCCATCTTACATCAGGATCAGAATCACCCCCCCCCCCAACATCAGGGTCCTTAAATCCCCCACTTACATCAGGGTCTCCAAGGTTCCTCAGTCTTACCTCAGGGTCTCCAGACCCCCCCTTACATCAGTATCCCCTGACTTATCCCCCCTTACATTAGGGTCACCCAAACCACCCACCAGGATTCTCAGAGATACCTCCCCAACATCAGGATCCCTAGTTTCACCCCCCCTATATCAGGGTCCCCAGAGTAACCCCCCTAACATCAGGGTCCCTAGAGTCACCTCCCCAACATCAGGATCCCCCCCTCCTCCATATATCAGGGTCCTAATAGTCCCTCTTGAATTATAGGCAACAACAATGAAATATAAAATGAAGGGGGTGCTTCTAAAGCCAGCCAAAGATGGATTGAAATTCAGCTAGTTCCCGCTGAACTGGCTTAATTCTAATCATCTATGGGCAGACTGATTGTACTGAAGTAATCAATCAATTGACTTCTGTAGAACCAGCCTGTAAGGTTTTTTTCATATGATTCCTGCCACTGGCTATAGCCGCCAGCAGTGATTAATGTATTCTGGCGGTGGGGAAACCTCCCACTGTCAGAATACAATAGTGCAACGGGAGGGATTCTCCCATCTACACTGACTATGTTGATGGGGAAATTGAGCAATTTTCTTTCCTTCCACTTGTGGTTGATCACTGCACTAACATCACTTGTGTTATCTGTAAGTCTTCGGTGATCTGGAAGTTCTTTTTTTTTCATTCATTTTGAATGACAAAAAATTCCTGTGTGTACCCATCTTTGCCCTAAGAATTGCCAAGCAAACAAATGGACAGAAATAAAGGGTTAAAGCAAAGTAAACTTTCCCATCTGATAACAAAACTTTCACTAAACACAGCTTTACATAGTGCCACACTGATTGTGTATCTTCAGTCTATGGTGACAGGTCCAGCAAGCAGAGATGAATGATCACTGCATACTCCAGCTCAGCTTTATATACTGCCCAGCTGAAAGTGTGCAATGATCGTTCAGCGTAGAGCAGAGATGGTAATGCACAATCAGCCCAGCAGTAGGCAAGACTGTTTGCAGTGGAAATTCTGTTTTAAGGGAGAAACTTTACTTTCATTCAATACTTTCATGCTGGGCATTTGTCGTCTTTTAGAATAGGGAGAATGGAGCTGCTGGAGCTCTGTGTGCCCCTGCCTCTATCCACTACTCCAGCCCCAGGAGGAGGTCAGCAGCTGGGCACAGAGTCCCAGGATGGTGGAGGCAGCAGGGGGCTGTTGGCTTTGGAGGAGCACAACTGGAATCTGGGGGGGGGGGCATAGCCCAACCAGCACCCCCCTAGATCCAGCCATGTGTAAGAACTGTCTGAAAGGGGCCTTAAAGCTCACATATTTTAGATATTGATAACTTTACAGCAGGCTATGCAGCAGCAGGAGGAGCAAAATGGTGGACATCTTCAACATATGTCTCTATAAATATGTAGAATATATTTCACACCCTTATCCTAAAGGTTTCTAGACATATGATCACTGCTGCCAGGCCCAGGAGCTGAATGAGGCCTTAAAACATAATTGAACTTTAAGTTTAAATAAGTTAAAAAAGTAACTCTGCTTTTTTTTTCCAACAAAACATTCCCCTCTGAGTGATCTACATATAGTATGTGTATTGCAAGGATTTTAACAAACGTGTTGTAGATTCCTACCTTTTGTTATTCTGAACAAATAGCTGTTTACCTGTGTCCATGTGCAAAGTTCATGTTAACCTCCCTAGCGGTCTGATTATGTCAGTATTTCTGCGCTAAAAGCAGTACATTTTGTTGTATGGAAATATGCAATTTTTTTATTGTAGGCCTGTAATTTTTAGGAATAACTCACTGAAATCTGTCCGAACAAGAGTCTAGTAAACATCCCGGGTATGGTAAAATTTGAAACACAAAATCATAAATTATAA